TGAGGGGTAAGGGATAGGCCAGGGAAACCCATTCAGGCTTCTGTGAAAATGAGATGCTGATAAAGGTGCAGGTGCGACAACCTTAGAACCTGATGCTTCTTGTTTCTCAAACAAAAGTATATTAATAGCAAAAATAGAGGCACCTATGTCTTTGTCAGAAACCAGGAGAGCAGATCAGTCACAAAAACTTCTATTTGGTGTCTCAGGGTTTAGACTTCAGAATGGAATCAAGCTGCCAACTTTACATACAGCACTGGACTCTTCACCTGTGTGCGGCAGTGCTGACACAGAGGCTGCCAATTCGGGCCCCATCCACTGGATTACAGCACACCTCATCACATCAAAAGCCTCTGGCCCTCAGACACAACCTCCATCTTGACTTGACCTCTGGATTTTGTTTTTTTAATTCTTGGCTTTTTCTCATTTTACATTCCTTATCACGATTTTCCAAACACAGTAATCATTCATAATTTTGAAAAAGCAGAGAAGAAATTGTTTCATCTGCCTTTCCTCAAAAAGAAGGCTCTTACCCACCTGCTTCTATAGCTACAAGGACAGCCAGACAGCTTTGTGGGCACTGGTTATGGATTCTGTTAACCCTATTCCAAAACAAGAGGCCCAGATGAAAGGATTTCAGTTTATAGATGCCAATATCCTCTTGCATTAATGCAGACTTGCTTCATAATCTCTTTCTACTAACTCCTTCTCAATATGGAATCATGACCAAGTCGCCTCAACAACACAGATAAAACCAACAAGGAAGACATATTTCCTCTGACGACTTCTCTTTCTCATCAGAGACAGGTTTCCTGAAAAGCCAATTAGTACTATGTATGGCTCCTCTCTCTGACCTCATATTTGCTCCTCAGTTGCAATCTGTCTTACACAACTTTATTGAAAATGCTCCTGCTTCCTGCTGGGGTGGGCATGGGGGGAGCACAACATCAATAAGGGTTCCTGATCGCAAACCAGGCAAAGGGGGGACTAAAGGGAGGCCCAGACTTTGCCTGTGCGATCACCACTTGTATACCGAATCCTGAATTGTACTCCACAACTTTAAAATAAAAAAAAAAAAAGAAAATGCTCCTGCAAAGGCTGCCCATGAACACCTGAACATCTCATTGCTGAATCCCATGGACACACTTCCTGTTTTATTTTCCTGAGGCTTCCTGAAGCCATGGCACTACACTCTGTGAAACTCTCTCCTCTTTTGGCTTCTGTGACGCCGCTCCATCTCTGTTTTCCTTATGGCCTGTCTGGTCTCCTCTGGGTTCTCTTTTTCAGTTCATGTCTTAAATGTTGGTGTTTCAGAGGGTTGCATTCTTTCCCTCCATTTATTTGCATTCTTTATGTTCTCTGTGGGTTTTCTTAAGGACGCTTAAAGCTTTGTCTACAATCTATATGCTGATGATCTTCAAATCTGCATCTCTAGCCCAGATCTATTCACCTGAGGTTGAGCCTATAAATATAGCTTACTACCTAGAGGTCCCCAGGCATCTCCAACTCAGCATGTTCAAAATGGTCTTATTTCTATTCCAAAACTTGCCTTCTTCCTCGCAGTGGTAATACCATTGACCTGTAAGAAAGAAACTTGACAAACATCTCTGATTCTTTTCTCTCCTCCTTCCACATATTCAATCAGTGATTAAGATGCATTGGTCTTTCCTAATAATAAAGATTAGTGTTATTAAAATAATAGTAAATACTATTAAATATTATTATTCATATTAGGAAATAACAATAATGAACTCATTCTCTTATCTCCTGAATCCAAGCTTATTTTCTTTTCAGAAGTCAGGCCCTGATCTTCCCTAGCTTTGATTGCTGAAAATGTAAAACTGTCTCGTTTCCAGTCTTGTTCCTTGTTTTGCACTTACAGCATAAATCATCCCTAGAGAGATCTTTAGGATATGCAAATGTGACCACGCCATACTCTGGCTTAGACTTTTTCAATGGCGGTCCATTGCTTTCACGATAAAATCCAAAGTGCCTTTCCTCCCCTTTACGGCTTCTTGTGTTGGACTGCTTTAGGGAAGATGGGCTAGAGTAATAGTTTAATCTCTAGCTATTTCATGCTTGGCTTCACTTTACTGAGGCTGCCAATTAGTGATTTAGAGGTGAACTCTTAAGTGCTCTGCTGTGAACTGAAGCCTGTTTCGAATAGTCCTTGAAGAGCTTCAACCTTATTGTCACTAAAAACCTGCATTGACTCGAACCTATGACCTGAAGTTCAATGTCTGTACAGCCCTTGGCCATCCTGTGAGTTAGGAAAGTGAGTTTTAGACATGCTTTGGTTGTTTCTAAGTCCAATTTGATCTAAAGAAATATGTTTCATCTTAGCTATATTTAAAATAATATTTTGAGACACAGATGATAGTCTTTTTTATTTTACTCTTCCTCATCTTATAATTACTTTTCACAGAAAGGAGAGTAGACTTTCTCAACCCTACTAGCTTTTATAAAATGGTGTATGAATACCTTCATTTTCTCGTCTTGTCATCTGTTCTTTTCTGGTTTTAAGAATGGAAAGAAACAACTGGGTGTGATCATATCAGCAGGAAACACCCTTGCTCCTGGCTGATTCACAAATTACCCCTCTTGCTTGCCATTTTAAATAGAGAAACAGAATGAAGAATGGACAAGAAAATTAAAGGGCTGCACATATACACATAGACTCTACTTACAAAGATAAGGAAGGATCAGTAAATTAAAAAAGGTTATACAAGTACCAAAGACCCACACAGGAAAAAATATAAACAAAGAAACTCAGAAAGATCATAGAGAGAAAAGAGAAGGAGAACCTGTTTTCTTGTAAAAAAAAAACAAAAAAAAAACTCCATTATTTCTTCAATGTTATCCATGTTTTCTTTTATGCTAATAATTTGCTTTTTCAGCTGATAAATGAAACATGGCTTAATAAAAAGTTGACAACTAGACAGCTATCAAGGCATGCTTTTCTCTCTCTCTCTCTCTGTGTTATTCTTGTCTATGGCCTGAAAGAAATTATGTCTGTCAAGAGAAAAAATTCAACATTGTGCATCTTACACAAGGATGTCCTCCACCAGGGTGTGAAGGGCACTGGGATTGCGGATCAATTTGTCAAGGAAGCTGACAATGTCGGTGAATTTGGGCCTGTGGTTTCTCTCCTTCTGCCAGCAGTGGAGCATCAGCTGGTGGAGAGATGCTGGGCAGCCCATGGGAGCTGGAAGTCTGTACCCCTCTTCAATGGACAGAATGACCTAAATGAAAACATACACAGATTATTCATTTGTTTTGAGGAAATAATACATATGCAATGTTAGAATTCCTTTTTATACAAACAGTAGAAGCCAAAATAATGGTCAGCATGAAGACTACTTGTGAGCACAAGGAGTCTAAATAAGGATAAATACAAAAGTTGTGAACAAAAATAAGGCCAGGCTTCTCAGCACACGCCTATAATCCCAGCACTTTGAGAAGCTGATGCAGGAGGATTACTTGAGCCCAGGAATTTGAGGCTAGTCTAGGCATCATAGGGAGACTCTGTTTCTACAAAAAAAAGCCAGGTATGGTGGAGCATGCCTGTAGTCCCAGTTGCTTGGTAGGCTGATTGTCTGGGCCCAGGAGGTGAAGGCTTCAGTGAACCGTGATCCCACCACTTTACTCAAGCCTGGGTGACACAGTGAGCTCCTGACTCAAAAGAAAAAGAAAATTGCCACGTAGCTCCTTAACACCTGCTCACCCCATGAGAGGGAAATATGTTTTAAACATGTGCTCCCAGTATACAAAGGGTAGGCTACGGTTTCATTACAATCTCAAGAGACAGTGTTTATGTGTTTTAGCTGGAACATCTCAAAATGCAATTTGAGCCTCAGAAAGTCAGCATAAAACTGATGCATTTTGTGCAAACTGCACTCAACAAATGTTTTAAGTAAAATTAAAGTAAAATTCTGCTGAAGCACTGATTTCCTGAATTTTTTTTGTCCTTTTATAATAATGTCAATGTGTATATCTGTTTTCTAACCATCATTCCCTCTTTCTTCATCATTTATTTAATTCCTGTTCTCTTACATCTGGCTTTCCCTTGGTTTTGACACTGAATTGATTAAAAAGTCATCCTCCTGTAACTTCTGAGGTCATTTAATCCTTAAAGTGCCATCGCTGGCTAGCTTAAGGCCACAGAGCAACAGAAGCATTCAGCCAGGCTATCCTCTGGGCCAGTGAGCTCTAACAGAACTTCTGTGATAACAGAATTATTCTGTCTCTGTACAACACGACAGCACATAGTCACACGTGGTTGTTGAGCACTCAACATGTGGCTAGCAGGACCGAAGAACTGAATTTTTAGGTTTAGTTGGCTTTCATTCATTCAAGTTTAAACGTGTAAGCCACATGTTCCACTCTGTGGAACAGTGCAGCTCTAGGAAAAGGAATCTGTAAAAGAAAAACAAAATTAAGAGTAACGAGATAACAATAATTTTTTTTTTTTGGTACTTAGAAAATCACATACAAGATAGGGCAGGACATTCGTTTGTTTAATATATGACCCACCTGTGAATTTCCTAACAATGTGACAAAATTGGCCCTGAATTTATGTAACTTAGGTTTTTATAAAACATTCAAAGGTATTCATGTGAACATTTATTTTTATATAATCTCTGGGAGAAAAGGTTTATTCTCACCATTTTCAAGATGGGAAAACTGAGGAATACACTAATGTTTAAAGACAGGTGAAGCTTACCCTCACACCTGCCCTGTTCCCCACCAAAAACAGAAATATAAAAAATGCAATTTCTTTTTAAATTGACACTGTTTGATGTGCCTCTAAAATATCCTTAATTTACGTTAGTGACAGTTTGTAAAACAAACAAAAAAAGAGAGCAATGATACGTCTTCAGGAACCTCTTAAATACTAAGTCTTAGCTTTTTTTTTTTAGTAATAAAGAACTTCTCATAATCCCATGTGACCAGAATACTTCAACTTGTCAGGACACCAGCATTTTCTATTCATTTTCTATTACATTATTGAACAAGATTTTTTCTCATCGGTTTACTGACGACTTTTGCTATTAACTAGGCTTTGATTTTAAGACATTTTGTTACATGTGTTAGAAAAACAGGATGTGTGTGAAATGCTTACAACGCATGTAAACTACTGTGGATAGGTTAGAGAAGTATCTAAGAAAGATAGGGTAGAATTCCATTAGAAAACAACACTGAAATCTTCCCGTAGGAGTGCTTGATAGTCAATTTACCACAGTCCCCTAACTATAATGTGTGTAATAAAATAGGTGACAAGTGAGATTATATTCTGAGAAAAAATAGCTGCCTTTTTTGAGTATCTACCATGTGCTAGGTGCTTTGCATACTTTTCTTCATTTACTGCTTAAAATAACTCAGTGTGGTAGTTATTATTAATCCCATTTCTTTTTTCTTTTTTTTTGAGTTGGAGTCTCACTCTGTCGCCCAGACTGGAGTGCAGTGGCTGATCCAGGCCACCGCAGCCTTGACCTGCTGGGCTCCGGCGATCCTTCCGCCTCAGCCTTCCAAGTAGTCGGAACTACAGACGTGCTCTACCACACCCAGCTAATTTTTTGATTTTATTGTAGAGATGAGGTCTTGCCTGCCCAGATGGGTCTCGAACCCGCAGGCTCAGGCAATCCACTCACCTCAGCCTCCCAAAGGTGCGGGATTATAGGCTGAGCCACCGAGCCCGGCTTAATCCCATTTCTTAAATGAGACAAATTAAATTTAGACTTAGAGGGGTGAAGAAGCTTGCCTAAATTAACATAGCTAGTAAGTGGCAGAGTTGGAATTTGAACTAAGTTCCCTTTAAGTTTCAAAATGTTCCTCTGACCATTCCCCAGAACTGCTTTCTAGTTCTCACAATATAATATCTTCTTTTCCAACTTCATGTCACCCAACAAAATTTTAATAGTGATTCACTATGCTATCTTTTGTCATAGCATCCACTAATCGGACTTCAATGATTTTATTTGGACCCAAGTTTCATATTCTGGGTAAATAAAAACCATAACCATTTCATAGTTAGCAAAATGTAATCTCAAACTGACCAGAGTCATTTCTACATGCTTCTGAGTCTTGTGCACATTTCAATTATTGCATCCATGACAATGCATTGTAATTTTTTCATCTGCCTTTTCTCTAAAGCTGTATGTATATAATTGAAAGTAGGAATTATGTCTCTAGATTTTTGTGTGCCCATCATTTAATACGGTGTCTGACACATTAAATATTAAGACCTAAACAAAAGCTATTAGAAGAAATTTTGGGATTTGTCTTGATAGAGAAGCAAATTCTTAGAAACTTGGAGTCTCAAGCTATTCAAAATAGATTCAAAGTACAAACATGGCAGCATTTGAAGTTCTCTCTGAAGGAAATATTGATTTTTAAAATGGTGCACCAAGCAGCATTGACCAAAAATAATCTCTTGATCTCACTCTGGTTTGCCTGGACAATAAGACAGGTGAGATTGGACTTGTACTTCTCTAAGATATAGATACCTGACCCAAACTCAGCATCCTTTGAGACTCGTGGCTTCTTCCTCCTATCCAGAGGGTTGCTATTTCACTGGCCACAGGTCATGAGCTGCTGGGGATCTGACTTTCCTAGAACACTCCTGTAAACATTTGGCGTCCAAATTAGACTGCTTAGCCTGCAAAGCAAACTGTTTGCTCCCTCTTAACAAAGTTGCTCTCATGCTTGCCCGATAAGAGGAGAGTGACAAGAGGATGAGTCCCCTTGCCTGGAACTTGTGCCCATAATGTGTCCAGAAGAGCAACTGTTCCCAGCAGGCCTCTCTGTGGAGACAGTGGGCAGATCAGGGGACTCATGACTTTTCTTCTTGCTAATCTCTGGTTTTTAAGTTTCCTCAGTTCTTTAACTTGTGACCTTGTGAAATTTGTCTTTTCGTGACAGGTACCCAACCCATCTTATAGGAAGATAATGATAAGAATAACAACAGCAACAGTGACAATGGTAAAAACAGATAACAATTATTGAGAGCTTTTGAGTACTTTCAAGTGCCAGTTCTAAGTGATGTACATGTTTTAATTCTTTAAATTCTCACAATAATTTTATGAAGGAGGCACAATTGTCACTCCCATTTAACAGACAAAGAACTTAATCATTGAGAAGTTTTACTTGACCAAGATCACACATCTGAACATTCTGGCTCGAAAGGTAGCCAGAGAAGAAATTTATCTCTTTCAAACAATTTACAAAATTGTTTGAAAGATATATCTTTCTAATGGACTTTTAAATTTATTCATCCAAACAGATAGATATTAATTACTTAAAACATACTATTGACTGTTCTAAGTACACAGGATAACATAATAGGTAAGACACATCTTTGTCTTTAGGAAATACGTTGTCTAGTCAGGGGGCGACCAAGGACTATAAATATAGTAAGTTCCACATAGAGCAGGGTACTGTGACAGCATGTGGGAGGAGTACCAAACCCAGCCTCAGGTAAGGCTTCTCAGAGGAGGTGAAGTGAATCTAAAGGATATGTAGAAGAATGCAGGATCAAGTGGGTGAATTGAAGAGAGGAAATGTGATCTGGAATGAAAGTAGACTTGTGTGGCCAAAATAGGGTCTTCAAAGAGAGGAAGGGTGAGGTTTGAGGCTAAGTAAAATTATATTTCTTGAATTATGCATAATTTAGCATGCTATAAAAGAGACTTTACGCGAAGGGGAAAAGGATTTTAGCAAGTAAATTATATTAGATTTCCCATTTCAAAAATCTCACTCCGGCTGCAGTGTGGAGATGTGCCTCGGGGAGTCAAGGGGGCCAGGAAGGAGGCTGTGGTGATCAGGATGGCCTTAGTGGAGGCAATGGCCATGGTGTACAGGAAGTAGGCTGATTGGACAGGACTGGGTTGAGTTTAGATGTGATGGTAGAGGGAGGGACAAATGTAACTTCTTGACTTTTGGCTTGGTCAGGTAGTAAAGAGAGAAGGCAGACCAGAAGAAGCAATTATGGGGCTGGGGTGATAATAACTTCCATTTTCCATAAGTTTTCTGGTTTCAGATACAAGTAACACGTATGCCTTTGAGAGCTTCTTATATACCAAGTTCTGGACTGGGTGTTTTAGCACAGCTTTCCTTTTTTAGGTCTCAAAATACCTTATATATGAGTATGATTGTTTAGAGCTTTGAGTACTTTCAAGTGCCAGTTCTAAATGATATTATAAGAAGACCAAAGCTCAAACTAATTAACACATTGGGTTGACAT